CCGCGGAGGGAGGGAGGCTGGGCTGGCCCCCGCCGGCCCCACAGCACGCACCTTGCCACAGGCACCCCTGCCAAGGCTCTACAGCTTCCCACCCCTGCCTGCTGCTCACCACAGCCTGTTCTCCACCTCCTGTCTGGCTCCTCATAGCCTAAAAGTACCTTGACTTGCTATTCTCAGGGATTTTCTCCCAGATGTGAACATCCCAAATGAAGGATTGGACCTATGATATATCTTCACTTCTTTTAGCCTCTTTGGCAGTGCAATTAAACTAATCGTCTAGTCTGGGGGCTTGTGAGAAATATATAACGGTGCTTTTGGTGATTTAATTTATGTTTTCACCACTTGGAGAGGTCGTTGTAGTGCGAATGGAGGGAGAGAAGATTGTTAGTGCAGGTAGCCTTCCGCTATGGCAGAGCTAAATCAGAAGCTCTCCCATGTAGCCAGTGGCAGGGTTACATTTTAAAACAGGTGGTGACAACTCTGCAAAGACTAAATTAGTTCGGATGTGTTCTTCCATCCCTGTGAGAGCCCAGTCATACTCTCCTCCTGCCGCAGGTGTGACGGTACCCACTCTGGATGAATATTGCACTTGCTGCATCCTAAACCGTGCTCAGGATGCTTCCGAGGAACCAAAAACTGGGGAGGACATGGTCTGTGTCCTCAGGCAGCAGCCCTCAGGAGGCATGGACCACCATTAGCCCAAGGCTTGCTAACAAAAATGAGGCAACCTTGCAGCAGCATCAACAGTGCCCGCTGCCATTGCTGCTGCGATAGCTGTTGTGCTCCATGCAGGCACCTTGAAATCATGAATTCCTTGCTTTCGGGACACAATATTCCTTTGGAGTGAAAACTGTTGGTAGCATGCTTGGGGGCTGCCCACGTGGCTGGAGCCCAGCCACCGTGACAGCAAAAAATTTTAGTAATCTCTCCTCACCGCTGAGCAACATTTCACTACTCTCCTCAGTCTTGTATGGTCACAGGCCGTTTATAGTGCCCTTCCCTTGCAGGATGGTGCTGTTTGCGGCCACAGGATCACAAAGGCTGCCTGCCAAAACTTCCATGTATTTTCTCCCTTCCTGCTTCTACTTGCAGATCCACGATCAAATTTCTCTGTTCAACAGATACACCAGCATCATCCACTCCCTCCATCTGTAAACAGTCCTCAAGCCCCTGAGCAAACTGTTCTTATCGCTCTGCCATAGTCCTTAGGAAAGCAGGGAGTGCTTGTAATTTGCTTGGGCATTATTTGTAATGACATATTGCATCACTTGAAACAACAGCAGCAAATGTGAGATGGTACCGAGTGGCACATCTTCGAAAAGAGACAGTGAGCAGCAGCTGTATTGAACAGCAGCTGGCTTTGTGGGTTTGGGCACCATTCTGGTGTCCTGCTGCTTCCTTCTGTACCTCTGATCCAGCCTCATGTACCCTCACAGAATTTTTTGGGAGTCCTTAGTGACAGGCTTCCCCGTCCTGTCTGTCACAGACAGTTGTGGGAGTATTATTTTTCAATACTGCTCATGACTTTCTATAGCCTGATGCTGACAATTGGGTACACTACTGATTTCTGTTTGGAAAAGGGAATTGCTTTGCTCTGGTTCTGGTAGGGTATAAAAAAAAAGGCAAAGCCTAAACCATCAAAATAGATGGTAGAGCAGTAGGAAACATGCGTGTCTGCAGAGCAGAGGTGTTTGTTTTCCTTACTGGCTATATGAATCTTTGTCACAAGCATGGGTGTCTCCCACTCCACAGTCAGAGCCCATTTCTACACCAGGTCTTCAGGATCCCCCGCACACCATGCCAAGGGAGAGCTGACCTCACTATTCTGCACATCTTCTAAATACAGGCAGGAGAAATAAAGATTACAACAAGGTTGCCTCCTTCTTGTATTCAGGACTGCCTGAGGCACTCTGCTGGGCACTCTCTCTTGTATTTAGCCTGGTGGGGACTATTCCTGGATCAATATTTAAAGCCTTCAGTCCGGATCTGGGTGAGGCTCAGTGCAGTCCCCTGACACAGGAGCGTGCTGCTCTGTTGGCCCCGTCCCCTTTGCAAACCTAGCACTGTGCTCAGATATCCGCGCTGCCCCTAAACAGCGTGGTTTGGAATTTTTGTCTAGCTGGCAATAACTCAATCTACCTCAGCACTAGTGTTGTCTTACAAAACCTCTTTCAAGGGTTTCCTGCAAACCTGAATGACATGACAAGTCTCTTCTGCTTGTGCCAGGTAACACAACTCCTACAAACGCAGAGCTGGGAGGACTCCTTGGTTGACTTCTCTAGCCCCTCCCTTTTTAAAAAAAAAAGGTTTATGAAGGGATGACCCCCTTTATAAACTGATCAAGCCTTGTGTTTAGAGTAGGGGTTTTTAACAGCTTTTGCTCTCAGCAGAAGGCAGTGCTATCCTGCTGCAAGTCTTTCTGCTGCTCACCCTAAATGTACTTATAGTTACTTTATATTCTGTTTTCTTGTGCAGTATTGTCCTTTTGTTTCAAAATTTTCTCTCCTTTTGTCTTCTTCAGCTCTATTTATTTTAATGAAATCATATGCTAACTCAGTCTTCAGTTTCCCGGTGCAAAGAAGCCATGATCTTTCAATTACTTCTTTTATGGTAGAGTCCTTGTTTCCCCTGTTACCCTAACGGCCAATTTATGTACATTTTCCAGTTTCATGGTTTTTATTGTTATATACGTGTTACAGAATTCTATGCCACAGTCCGAAGAATAGATCACCATTACTGAGTATCTAATATTCTCTCTGTGTTGCTGAATACATCCTGGGATCATATTAGTATCATTCATCAGCTCACTGCGGAGCCATCTCCTGAACAGCACACCTTTTATGAATCTTGGTCTTGTCCTCTCAGTCATTTTTAGCTGATCAGCCCCCAGCTAAATATTTTTGGTGACAATTTCCTAAGTATGTGATCTTACTTTCTGTATATTCTTAAATACTTTTTCTTTATATTCTTTTTCTCTGTATTCTTAAATTTGAGCCTTTTTTTTTTTTAAATCTGCTTAGCAGCTGAGTCTGGCTTGTTTATTTGACCTTTAAAGATCACATTTTTAGTCCTCCACTCTAGGAGGGGTGCATCCCACCTCTGGGCCAGTAGCACAGTTTCTAAATATTCCCATTTTCTTCTGGAGAGGTTCATCAAAATGTTAATTGAGATTAGTCCTGAGATCATGGACTTCTACTAGGAACCTCTCTCTCCATTGCAGCAACTTTTCTTCCAACTTACTGTCCACCCTCCTAACCTAGAAATCCTTCACCTTCCTCTCAAACAAATAATTTCCCATGAGCCGTGCGTTATTCACATTAGCGTGAAGGGAAAGTAGGGTGTGTGATTTTATGACTTGGGAGTGTTTTTAAGGGGTCCTGAAACACTGAATCATCATTTGTCTGCTCTCAGTCTGGCAGAACTGTTCAGGAGATGACTCAGGGGGGTTAACCGCACCGTGGTTTAATATTTGACTAAGATTAGAGGAGCTTTTAGACACGCATGGCTTGTAACAAACTCGGCGCAGGAGCCTGCGTCACCTGCCTCCTCGTGATTGCTATGGAGACCTCAGCACCCAGCGGCGGGCGGATGCCCACCTTCCAGAAGGGAGTGACTCCGACAGGCAGAAAAACCAAGGAAGACTTGGTCCAGGCCCCCTTTGCCCCTCTGTGCAGCCCAGTTCCACGGCACGACCATCTGCGGTGACGTCCTGAGAGCAGCCTGTCCCACCGGCTGCTGCAGGATCCCTCCTGCTGCGCTTCACTCGGGAACCGCTCCGTGTGTGATTAACGCTCGGGAGACAGGTTTGCTCACTTGCTTGTTTTGTCGGATTTGCCTCAGGTTAAAACCTCCTGGTGTGGTTTAGGGGCGAGACCCGGATGCAAGTGACAGCACCAAGATGTGGCAAAGGAAGGAGACGGGGAGGCACCTCATCGGGCTGTGACTAACCTCTGGTCCTGTGGAGCGAAGCAAGGGAAAGGATGACAGCCTGCTGAGTCCTCCCAAGAGCCACCCCCATTGCATCGAGGGTAGCTGTGGGGAAAAGAGTTACAAGGAGTATGTTGTTTCTTTGAGGAAGTTCTTGCCTACAGTCCTGCAAAGCACTGGCTTTTATTTTAATGTTGCTGGTCAAGGCAAACCCTTAAGGTCAGGAGCACTGAGAGAGGAAGAAGAGGAAATAGTATGAAGACTAGTTACATCGAGAAAGTATCTCTGTCTTGTCTATGCCAGGCTTTTTCAGGGAGATAGGTATGGAAATGGGAAGCAAAGAACCTTCAGCATTTCCCATGGAAGTCCTCACAGGCAACCTGAGCTGTTCTTTACAGCACCTGTGAGCGGAACAGGATCAGCCATGGGGTTCCCCAAGGTCTCTTCTTCATCACTTCCCTGCAGGGACTGCATCCCCAGGAGCCTTCTGACCTTCTGACTTTCAACCCCTTCAGGCCAGTTGCCAGTGAGAGGCTGCTCTCTCCTGTGTGTGCAGGTGGCAATTTCCCTGCAGGTGTGAGCAGGATGGTCGCTGCAAAGTGTGATTTCACCATTTCAAGGTCACAACACACTTCTTGGGGTGCAAAGACTATACAGATGGCCTCTGCAGACCTGAAAAGTTGAAAGCGGGCTAGAAAACAAGAAAAATCCCCTTCATCTATTCAGCCAGTGCTTCTCTTGTCTCCAACTCTATCATTCATGGACTTGCTGAAAGCTGTGTGCCACGTGAAAACACTGATAGTGCTTTCAGTGCCGCAGGTCTCTTTCTGTAGGTGAACGGCAGAGTGGTACGAGAGGGAGGGCAATGAAACAACATGGACAGGTTTTCAAAGATCCCCAGATAATCCATCTGGCATCTTATTCGTGTTGTCAGCTTCACCTAAGTATTCAAGGGGCTTCCTCCTCAATGGAGATGCTTACCCATCCCGCTATCTACAGGATATCTGAGAATGGACACAGATTAGCGGAATTAATTGCCTAAATAAAGAGAGGGTCCGGGGCTTGCTACTCCTCTGGTGTGCCAAAGCAGTAAGTACAGCTATTTTTTATTTCCCCGTCTCAGCTGCTGCTGAGCTTCATCTGACTGCCAGTACCAGAGGCAGGAGGGAGGGCAGGCAGGCTAGCCCACCTGACCTCTTTACTGCTGAGACTTGTCTGTTTTCTGAAGCACTGCCAAACTGCACAGTTTTGGGTTGACCAGTCAAATACTAAGCTGGGAAATGTCTTCCTCTCTCAGCATTCTTCCTTCTCGCTGCCCTTTCATTGCCTTATGAAAAGTGAGACTATCAGGGGAGAGGAGTGAGACTGATTACTGATCGCCTGACGGAAGAATATGTAGACTCCACTCCACATGCTGGTGGGAAGTAGCAGTGCTGCTCCAGAGAGAAGTGGGGACTGTGTGAGCTGGAAACTCCTGGCTACCTCCTGGAGATGAAGGCTAGACATGATGCACCCTCCCTCTTCTTGCCAGAGCTTTGGGGCAATGGTGCAGCCTTTTTGGTTTCCATGCTCCTGTGGTGACACAGGAGGATGGATAATGGACATCAAGATGCTGGGTGTACAGGGGTTGCTCACTTGGGGCTCTGGATTTTTAAAAACTCCAGCCTAGGCTACATTTTTCTGACCCACACAAGTTCTTTCTGTGCCTGTTCCTGATCACGCCAGGGTGCAGGACCTCTTTACACTGTGGTGTCAACATAGTATTGATACAGTCACCTCTGTTGTCTTCCCGTTTTAATTTGTGTTAACTATCATGTTCGCAACCACAGGGAAAGTGATTGTTTTCTAAAAGTGGAGAGTGGCTTCTGGCTGTCGTGAAGGGAAATGTTTCTGTCTGGGCTGGGACTCAAGGGAAAAGGGCTCACCTGGTTCTCCGGAAAGATGAGCTGGGGCCCTGCTGAATTATTGAGCACGCACCACAGTCGTCAGCTCAGAGAGAAAGAGAAGCACCAGCTTAGGTCACAGGTGTGGGACGGAGATTATTAACTTCCAGAACAGAGGAGTGTAACTGGATCTGCCTCCTGCACTTGCTTGCTCTGCTGCCCGGCTCAGTGTCACAGCTGCTTGGCACTATGACATAGATGCTCAGCTTGGTTCGGTGGCCCTCTCTGGGACCACAGGCAGTCACAAAAGCCCAATTCCACAGTATCAAATCCCTCCCTGCCTCCTTTCAGAGGCAAAACCTCTTAGGCCAGGTCTGGAGGAGCAGCAACACCAGGTCACACGCATGGAAACCGAGGCATGATGTTTCAGTCTAACACTCAAATGTGCTGGCCATGTTTAAACCCCCTTTACTCACCTACATAAATGATAAACAGACTGGCAGAGGACAAGATCACAGCAACTGCAGCAAGAGGTCCATTGGAGCTTACATGTCGACAGCTCTTGTGAAAAAACAGGTTATCTGATTAGGTGACTTAGTTGCCCAAGTATGTGTGTGTATTCGCTTCTGAAATTTTGGTCCAGGTTGTATGCCCACGGCTACAAGGAGAGACAACTAGGTTGAAAATAAGACCATATGTCCCAGCCATGCCTGAGATCCCTGAGATGCCCCACTACACATGTCCAGACAAAACGGTGAATGTCTTTCTGTCCCTTTGGCCACCTGAATCTGCTGTGATGCGAGGAAAGGACAGGATGAGGTGCGGCGCTGTGAAAAGAATTGTGAAGCTGCTTCTTGTTTGGCGGCAGCTGGCACTGACCAGCCCTGCCAGGTGGCTGGTGTACCCATAGGAAATGCTGCCTCATTCAAAGGGGACAATGTCACTTACCCTGTATGTGGCACCCGATCCTGTGCGTGCAGGAACTTCTTCCACACCCTCATGGAGCGATCTTGTGCAATTTTTGCTTCTTCCTCTTGCTTTAATGATGGATTAAAATAGTTTATTACTGCAGGAGGCCTGCTTTATCTATAGACATTTATTTCTATATTGCCACATTCTCATTACAAATAATTCATGACTAAACTCATATAAGCCAAAGCAGTATGATGAATATCCTGTAATCTGGCTCATTTTGGCTTACACCTTTACTGAGGGGCCCTCTGAGATCCCTCTGAATGTCTTGTTCTGTAGGGTGACACCGATAGAGCAGCACGAAGGCACCAGGTTCTGCTTATTCCTTTGTCGACAGACTACAGATGGCGGGGTAAGTCTGCCCAGGGGCCTTCTCAGATGTGGTATCTCAGTTCATTGCTCACGGTCAAGTGAGGTTACAAGTTAACAGGAGCCCAAAGCTGTTCGAAGAGACATTGGAACAGGTTATATTCCCTTTTCACTCTTCCTCACACCTCTCCTGTGACCTCTGGATCCTCTGCTTCAGAAATTCAACTATGCCGGCAGAAGATAATAAGGCAAACCCCATCCCTCACGTAGAGTTGAACTGAACTGCTCTACAAAGAGCATCAGAATCAGCACAGGGCATGGAGGAAGGGTACAACTCCCCTACCAGCCCGTCAGCTCCTGCAAATTTTCTGACTGACTCAGGAACACCAAGTAACCTCTCTTGTAAGTCTGGTCTTCTTTCTCTGGTGCTAACGCCAGCCTGTCTGGAGTTTCTCAGGACCAAAGAAAATGTAAGTTGTTTTCCCCTGTTAGAAAACATCAGTCCTTGAACACCAAAACAGAGCACTTCTATTTGGAGATGGGAACCTGACAGCCTGCAGTGTGTCCCCTTTGGTCCAGAGTTACCTTGTGAAAACCTGCCCATGTTGGGCCAGCATATTAACCTTTGAAACGTCAATAGTTGCAAACGCATTATAGGATGTTCAATGGGTTTTGCAAGGTTTCTAAGAATTAAGAAATGCTGAAGAATCTGCACTCACTGAATATGCAACGAGTCTCTCACAACATAGATTCTTCTGGGAAATTTTGGTCTAAATAAGACAGTTTTAGAAGTGAGATTAGAGGCAGGACACAGCCAAGCAGTGAGGAAAAATGGGTAAAGCTGCTTAAATTAAATAGCTGACAGCTGTCTTCTGAATAAAAAATTTAGGCTATATAAAAAGCAGAGGAGATGCTATCAGTTTCAGGTATACTTTAATACTTATCCCTCACTGATGTGGAAGCTGGTTTTGGGATCAGCATTTTTTTTAATTTTACATCAGAAAAGGCTTCTATTTTTTGCTGAAACTCAAGCTGAAATGAAGGGCTGGAATGGCCCTACTCATTTTTTCTGTCACCCTGTGTACAAGATGTTGCTGGCTAGCTGTACCACCATCCCTCTGGGGACAGGACTGTGGCTTTGGCAGGGGGGTGGGGTACAACTTCCAGAGGAGACCAGCCCCCCTGCAGACTGCTCCCTGCCCCAGCAACAGCTCTTGATGGGAGAAGGGTTGATTGTTTTTCCTTTGGTTTATCCAGCTCTAGCTCTTCAAACTGGAAGTACCTTGGCTGCCAGAAGCAGCAGAGACTTACTTGATTTTTCCACGTACAAGGCCTCTGGGAACAGATGAATAAAGAAGTGTGATACAGCATCTAGAGGGAACGCAGGTGTCCCAGCACCCTGGTACTCCATAAGCACAACCAGCCTGATTTCTGTGTCTCTGAACAGTGCTGCTCACACTCACCCTTCTAAAATGATAGAGGGCAATTACACTGCAGACCTTTAAACCTGTCTTCCAGTAAGAAAGAGGCTGTAAACCAAAAAACGATAATATATAGCACCATAACAGTTTATGATCTCAGAAGCACCTTGCTCAAATTATCTCAAATTCAGGACACCAGGATTTCTACAGAAATTTTTGAGAAAGCTGGAATAAATTTATGGATTGTAGAACAATGTAAAATGGGACTGCTGAGCCCAAATTTGGCTTGCAGTGCCACTGACCTAGTATTCCCTTTCCTGTAAAATAGTGGATGTAGCCACCTGACTCCAGATCATTGATATAGGAGATATAAGAGATATCTATGCTGGGTTCAGTGCTTTAGCTGGAAAATGCCAAATACATCATTTCAATGGCAGCTAAACTCTGCGGCTGCAGGCAAAGTAGTTTACAGAGGCTCGTGTAGCTTGAACACAGCAGGATTCAATGCATTATGTATGGATGAGCCCTCTGGAATTGCACATGCACATAAGCTCTGCCCGTAGGAAAATAGTCATTTAAAACCTCATCTTCCACACCTCTCGGAGCTGACTTGCGTTAAATATTAACAGACGTGGTTCATCAATTCCCTGGTTCACTTGGCTTCTTTTAACAACAGATGTTATTACAACAAGTCTTCTGCCTGCCTCCCTGCTCCTGTCGGCACAGCCGATGGTGAAACCCAAGAATCTGCCGCTGTAACTCTGCCTGCAGAGCCTGGCTGCTGCCTCGGCCCTATGCTCTCTCCCTTCTCTCCCCCGGGGATCATCAATGCTGCCCGCCGTTGGTGTCTGAGAGTAGCTTGGGCTGTGAGCCACTAGTTACAGAGGTGTTGGTTAAACCCGACAGAAGAAAGGAGCGGGGGAACCGACGGGAAGACGAGTTCTTGCTGTGAGAGTAGTGAGCATGGCCAGCAACCCCAGCGCACTGCCCCGAGTGACCTTCCAGACGTCGGAGAAACCTGGGGAGGAATCATCACACAGGAAACTGGGCAAGCTAACCATAAAGTACAACCGCAAAGACCTACAGCGCTGGCTAGACCTCGAGGAGTGGATCAACACCCAGCTGCAGGAGTTGTACCAATGTCGGGTGAGTAGCTGGGGCAAATCAGCCCCTCACTCATCAGGTGAGTGGGACCAAGGGCCCAATGCTCTGACATACTGGAAATAGCTTCTCATCTTCAGTCTTTGTCAGATATTGCCACCTGCTATAGCGCTGTCTCCAACTGGTGAGCTTGCAGCTGGGGAAGCTTTGCAGGGATATAATCCAACTAGCTTTAAACCACCCGGTCTTGTAGCTGCTGGGAGGGTGTAGCTGTTGGTCA